AAAAAAGAAAAGAAAAGGGATGGCTAATGAAGAAAACAGTGATTTTTTTTCTCTAAAGCTAACAAAGTGATTTGTTAGTGATTCTTTTCTCTAAAACTAGCAAAATGGCTAAGAGAAATATTTGTTTCCTTGATCTTACTCCCAGATTATGCTCCCTCAGTTTTATTTCCACCAATTTTCTTTTCTTTTTTAACCAAATAAATTTTCAGTGAGAGCTCCATGGGATATTAGTTGATTGAGCTTTTTCTTGTGTTTGAATGGGCTGCCTTTCATTTTCATTTTTAGTCAGCCTCTCTGTGGAAGGACAATAATATAATTGAAGGGATGCAGATGGCCACCAGGCCTCCCTCTCATTCCGGGGGTTCTGAGGAGGGTAGTGTCAGAGGGAGCAGAGGTCATCCTAGTGGCTCCCTTCTGGCCACACCATCCCTGGCTAGCAGACCTAGTGGAGCTGTCCTCAGCCCCCCACTGGAGGATTCCCCCAGGGGAGGTGTCCCTACACCAGGGTCTCTGGAACATCTGGATCCGGAGTGGCTCCATCTGACCGTCTGGCGATTGAGCGGGAACAGCTGAGAGAGGCATATTTTTCCGCAAAGGTCATTAAGACCATCGAGGCATCCAGGAGGCAGTCCACCACTCGAATCTACAACGCCTCCAGACTGGTGCCAAGCTAGGGATCTCATCCGAGTCTCAGCCTCTGTGCCCCAGGTTCTGGACTTCCTACAGGAAGGACTGGAGAAAGGTTTGGCCCCCAGTACCCTTAGAAGACAGGTCTACGCTCTCTCCATGGTTCTGGGAGGGGTGGATGCTCCCCCCTTGTCCCAACATCCAGTCCTAAGGTGCTTCCTTAAGGGAGTGGCGAATCTGAAACTCCCAGTGGTCCATCGATTCCCTACCTGGGACCTACCCACGGTCCTCCAGGCATTGACGGAGGCACCATTTGAATCCTTGAGGGAAGTTTCTCTACAATTCCTGATCCTTAAGGTCGTCTTCCTGGTTGCCATCACCTCAGCCAGGAGAGTATCTGAGATCAACGCTCTCTAGCAGAGCAGACCTCTGCACCTTTCTAGAGAACTGGCTCATCCTCAGACTGGACCCCGCGTTCATGCCCAAGGTCAATTCCCCCTTCCACAGGGCTCTAGAGATAGTTCTAGTGGACTTCTGTCCGCAGCCCTCCAGGGATAGGGAAAGATCTTGGCACAAGTTGGATGTGAGAAGAGCCTTGCACATCTACCTAAAGTGCACGGCCCCCTTTAGGCATTCGGAAGCCCTCTTCGTATCATATCAGCCATCCACCCAAGGTGCCAAGGTTTCCCCAGCCACCATCAGCAGGTGGATCAGAGCGGCCATCTCACNTTTTGTACTGTTATCTGTTCACTTACAGTGACAATTCACCCTACATTATAAAAGTGAAACATTTTCAAGGAAAAAACAATAAAGTCCAGTTGCTTTTTGAAAAGCACACATGTTGCAATATGGGAAAAAATTATATTTAGAGGCTCTTTCTGAGCCAGATTGAGACAGGTGACTGTGAATAAGCTAAATTGAACTTCTTTAATACCAGTAGATATTTCACCTAGAAGGTTTAACTCATTACATGCAAGTTCTTGATACAGTTTACTTCATGAAACCAGATTTGAAAGATGAGCCTTTACAAATGCAGAATGAGAATAGTTTATTGATGAAAGCAGCTACATCTGGGAAAGCCAGCATAAAATTTTGGGAGAGGAAGCATTGCCTTTCAATACACCAGCTCAAAAGCAGAACTTGTTGCATTAAATATGCATTGCAATTGGCAAGAGGTAAAATGGCTATTTTTTTCTCTTGACAGCAAATATGCCTGTGGTGTTGTATGTGACCATGGAGCTTTATGGCAGGGAAAAGGTTTGATTATAGCAAAAGATAATCAGGTTAAATATGGAGAAGAAATATTGCAAATTTTAAATGCCATCTGGAAGCTAAGAATGATTTGCTAGTAGGATAAAGACAGGTGTGTCTCTTTGGACTTGAAGGAAGCCTTCTGGAAGGAAGATCTCCAAAATCAAATTATAGAGAATCCAGTGGTTGATCTGTAGACTCTCTGCACATGAACACAACGCCCGTTGCTGCAGACCTGAAAGTCAAAGTAACAGATTATCAATTATCAACAGATTATCAATAGAGCAGGGGTGTCAAACTCAAATTTGTGATTGACATTGAGGGGGTGGGCAGAATAGGCATGGCCAGGGTGGGTGTGGCCAGCTCAACATCATTTTGCTGGGTTTGCCTGTGGTGGCTTGAGTGCTCTGCCAGAGAAAACAGGCTCCTAAGCTCCATTTTCGGCTGCAACAGCCACCTGCAACACTTTGCCGTCAAAAGTTGAGTTTGGACCTCCATTTTCGCTGTCAGAGGCACCGTGGGCAAGTCCTTCACTGTTTTCAGGGTGGCCCTGTGGACCAGATCTAAGCAACATGTGTGCCAGATCCAGCCCCTGGGCCTTGAATTTGACACCCCTGCAATAGAGTAAGACAGCACTTTCCTCACAACTAAACTCTGCCGTTCCTTAACACTAACCCAAATTTCTTTCAGGTTCTACATTGTATAAAAAGACAGGGTGAAGTGATTCCTGATCCTTTCCAATAAGCTTCGGGATTTCTTCAGCACTTCTAAGTGGCTTCACTGAACTGTAGACCTTTGGGTCACAACCAGCTCTGCCCTGATTTTCTCATTTCTCTCTTCCACCTTCACTTGTATGGAGATACCTACAAGTGAAGAGAAAGGACTGTCTCTGTCCAGAAAGTGCTTGCCAGGGAGAAGCACAAGGCTATGAGAAGGCCAGGCACTTTGTTCTTAGAAGAAAGAAACAGCCCTGGACATTCACCTCATTTGTTGTGGCTGCTGTTTGAAGGAAAAACAAAATAACAAGAAAATCAAAAGAATTCTAAAGGGATACTTTTTCTTCTGTGTACATTCACTGCAGTTTGGAAAATCTAAACCAGCTTTCAGCAAGATCCATTATGATATTTGTAGTGATCAACCTTTGGAATCCGAGCACATTGATTAGAGGTAATCTTTTACTAACCATTCCATCTCCACATTTTGTTCCAGGTGCAACCAATCCAACATCTGGCGTTTCTGGAAAGTAATCCATTTGGCATTCCCATTCATTTCCATGTCTGCAGTATAACCTGCCACACTTTACATCCCTGAAAAGGAAAGAG